CCACTACCCCCTCAGACTTACATTTTGCTTTCTATTTTCCTCATATCCATCTTTCTGGAGGGAAAAAAGGCTGATTAAAAGATGCTTACCATAGAAAACTTGGAGACACAAAAATGTAAAGAGTAAATAAAGATCACTTATGATTTTACTACCCTCTGATAATTATCATGAACAGTTTTTGGCTGTTTTCTCTGCTTGTATGTCACACACGCATGCACATGTGCACACACATGTGCCTCAGAATCAATTTTGCAAATCAAATTCATTATCTCTTCTCCCCACACTGCTAAATCTGTTCCTCCTTATGTATTTCTCACGTTAGTGAGAAGTATCACCATCTGTTTACATAACTAAACCAGGACCACTGGAGTCTTAACTCCTCTTTCATCCATTTGACATCCATTTGATCACAAAGTCCTTTGATTTTTCTCCTTCATAGCTCTTGAATTTGTCCTTTCTGTATCACCACATTCTTAGTGTAGACTCTCCGTATCTCCTTCCTGGGTGGTTACAGCAGCAAATAAAATAGTCGTTTTGTCTAATCTCTTACTCTTTCCAATAGAGCCACTAGGTGCCTCAAAATGCTCTTCCTAAAACACAGCTCAGGTATAGCACTCTCTATCATGAGAATATTCCTCACAAGAGAAAGCCCGAGCTCCCTAGCACACTGAAGGCTTTTCCTAAACCCTTTTGGCCTCACCCCCATGCCTCCATGATACATATACATGTTACTAACATGTCCTATAGCGGGTTTTATTAACGAGACACAGGCTTCCATATTCGTAGAGATTAATGGAGGTGCCTCATAATACCCAGTCATCAGTTGGATTAGTTTTTGGATGATATATAGTATTTTACCTGTATGACCATTTTACTTTTTACCACAGTCACCAAGGAGCTGGTTAGCTGGATGAGAGGTCATGAATCATCGGTGTTTTCAATCTCTGTGCATGCATCAGGGAAGTACGCCATCACTACTTCTTCTGATACAGCACAGCTCTGGGACTTGGATACCTTTCAGAGAAAAAGAAAGCTGAATATTCTCCAGTCAGTGGGTATACAAAAGGTCAGTGAGGGGAAACATCTTGGTCTATTGTGTTTCTCAGGCTAGTTCTTGGCCAACAGTATTTATAGGTGATTTAAGAATAATGATGCATTTGTCCCACATACCAGTTTTTCGTAACTCAACAACAAGCAAAGCAAAGTGGCCTATAGAATTGAAGATGTTGCTTATGGCTACAGCTTATTACTTACTGAGCTTTTTTTCTTATTTAAAAAAATTATTATTATAGTATATAACTTCAATTTTAGCAAGCTGATAGTTTTTATTTAGCTGATTGGTTTTTATGCTTGTCAAGAGCTGACACTATCTAAATAGTGGCATGATTCATTAGGAACAATTTTATAATCATTAAACTCTGGCAATTAAAATCACAGATCTAGTAATGAATAATCATGTAGGCAATAATTTATCACAGCTATTCCCTTAAAATAGCAGCTGATGCTCATTAACTTTTAAGCTTTTGCTTCTCTCAGTAGGAATAAATTTATTACTTTTCTAGAAAAATGTTGCTAGTTATAATAAAAATCTTGTCACTTTTTTTTACGTATTGTATGAATTTATTTATATATTGTCACATTTTTTGACATTGGTTTTGAAACCATCTTTTAATGCATCCATTATAGAGTACACTATATTCGTTACAATAGCCATATAAGTAATGCTCAACAAACATTTATCTTAAAGCACTTTGCTGATCCCCCCCACCCCAAAGGATTAATTCTTAGAAGCAGATTGACTAGTTCAGAAGAGATATGTATTTTTAAGGCTGTTGCGATTTGCTGTACAGTATTTTTAACCAGTTTTGACTACCAGCAGCAGTGTGTGACCATGCCCTTTTCCAATGCTTTCACCATTTATTACCTTTAACATTTATCAGTAGTTAGTATTTAATGTAGTGATCTTATATAAGTATATAGTTTGTAAATATAATACATATGTGAGTATATGTATAGTTGTGTATACATATATGTGTGTATTATTTTTAAGTAAATTTGATTCACATAAAATGTTATCTTGTTATTTTCATTTGAATCTTTACTAAGGTTAAATATTTTTAAATTGTTACTTAATATTTTATGAATTGCCTAGTCATTATAGTCACCTATTTTTTATTTAAAGGATTTTACCTTTTCTTTTTAGTTTATAATGGTATGTGAAATATCAGTATTATCCCTTCATATATTGTGAATGTATTTTTCTCTAGTTCAAGAAAAATAACTTTTAAAAAGAATGTTTGGCTAATTGTATAACTTTAAATTTAAGGAGGGCTATATGATCCTTATATGACAATGACTTTTTTCCTCCATCTTTAGGTTTTCTTTCTACCATTAAGTAATACCATCCTCAGCTGCTTTAAAGATAATTCCATCTTCGCCTGGGAATGTGATACACTTTTTTGCAAATATCAATTGCCAGCTCCACCCGAAAGCTCTAGCATACTATACAAAGTGTTTGCTGTGACCAGGTAATGTGCATTTTAAGACACTGAGAATTTTTAAGAAATTTAACTTTCAGTAAAATTTTATAAATTTTCATTCAGTATCTTACTTCAAACTTAGATATAGTCTATAGAACTTGTTTTACTTTATTGTGGAAAATTTCCAATATACATAAAAATATGAAAGTACATGGAGTCCTAATTACAATACTTTCATTAGCTATAATCATCATCAGCTAATAGGCACCTTTTTTTATCTATAACTCCACCTACTGCTTCTCCACTGCATTGTCTTAAAGCAAAACCCAAGCATATCATTTCAGCCATAAATATTTCAATGTGTATTTTTAAAGGATAAGGGCACTTTTGAATAACTATTGTCAGGCACAGCTCTCCTCCTTTCCCAGCTCTGCACGGTTCTTTACAGAATTGCTCAGCTGAGATCAGGCTTATTTATTTGTTTGCTTGCCTTCCTTTAGACCAGGGGTGGGGAACGTCCAGCCCGCGGGCCATATAAGGCCTTCGAAATCATTCGGTCCGGCCCTGCCAAGGCATTAGGGTGAGTTAATTAAATGTTTTACCAAATATAGCAGGCTAATTTTTAAGTTGATAATTTTGTATGGCCCTTGAATGATGTTATAAATATCCAAATGGCCCTTGGCAGAAAAAGGTTCCCCACCCCTGATCTAGATTGAAAATCCCCTAAGATTAGGGTCTTACATGTCTGTTCACTTCTGTGTCCCTGGCATCTGGCATGAGACCTGACTGATAGTGGACACTTTATAAGCCCAGTGAATGAATGAGCAGCAACCTTGCAAATCAATACAGCTCATTCTTTTTGTACTTTATAAAATTAAATAGCTTTGTTTGAGCAGGAAGTCGTTTGGGGTTTTTGGTTTTTCATATAGCAATGCTGTACCTATTCTGTATGTGAAATGTAGAAAGTGGGAAAGTGGTAACTGACTTTGAGAGAATGAGATAAAATCTAAATGTTACTCCAAAACCCCCAATTAAGTCATCAAACAAATGTTTGTTAAGCTGGTTTCTTAGCACAATAGGTAAAAAAAAAAAATATGTATACTGTAAACATGAGTTTTCCCTATGGTTGTCACTGGGTGCATGGGACCATGTAAATTAATAAAATTAAGAATTAATTCCCTTAGAAGCACTAGCCACATGTAAGTTCTCAGTCACATGAGGCTCATAGTGAACATATTGGACAGCATGGATACAGAACCTTTCCATCATCATTTGGGTCATATGGGACAGTGCCGCTGTGAACAATTTAGCTCGTCTTACTTTCTCGCCTTTTTATTATCTAGAGATGGCCGAGTGCTGGCCGCTGGAGGCAAATCAAACCATCTTCATTTGTGGTGCTTAGAAGCGAAACAGCTATTTAGAATTATCCAGATGCCTACTAAAGTTCGAGCCATTCGCCATCTAGAGTTTCTTCCTGATAGTTTCGATGCTGGTTCTAACCAGGTTGGTAACATAACGCAGGACATTCTCCGTGTTGAGAAGGATCATACCAGTTTCTGAGCTGTGATAGCACTCTCATTTAACTTGTACCCTGATTGTTATAAGGACTTGAAATTGCTAATCTATTGTTGAGAAGAGTCTAAAATTGAAAAAGAATTTTTTTAATCTTAGGTTTTGTATGTTACTGGCAATGTACTCTTTTTCTAAAGGGCAGCTTTTCATTTATTTTTTCCTAAGATCAGTGTATTTTAATTTAATTTCATGCCCTACTTCATAGTGTACAGGATGCTTTCACGTGTTATTTTTTATTTGAGCCTTAAATTCTTTGAGCATGGGCAAGGAAGTATTCTCACCGTCCTACAGATTATGACACTAAAGCATAGAAACTTAAATGACCTATCAACACTCCTGTTGATTGTAATGATTAAAGATGAGGCTAGAGCTACAATGTTCTCACTTTGTTGAACAGTGTTTTGTCTACCGTAATTGCTCACCTCAATCCTATGAAACATGTTTCTTTGCATCTTGCCTTAGTATACAGAGTGCTTTTCCCACCCCACCCACAACACACATCTTTTTTCTTTTTACTAGTTGAGTATAGTCTGACCCTAACTTTAAAAAAAATTATTAAAAATTTTGAATTACAGTTTACATTCAATATTATGTTGTATTAGTTTCAGTTATATTACATAGTGGTTAGACAACCATATGCTTTACAAAGCATTCCCCCTGATATTTCCAGTACTCAACGGGCACCATAGATGGCTATTATAATATTATTGACTATATACCTCCTATGCTGTACTTTACATTCCTGTCACTACTTTGTAACTTCTATTAACTCTTTTTGTTTTAAATTGATTATCTTGGGTCTTACACTTTAACAAATTTTTGTATATGCCCATGATGTGTGTGTGTATGTATATGTATTGTGTGTGTATGTTTATTATATCTATCTTCAATTTTTAAAATTTTTGTTATTGTTGACAGTATTACAGATGCCCCCTGTTTTCTCCCCACTTCCCCTCTCTATCCAGCTTCACCCTTAAGTTTTTTAATAGGCAATACAGTCACGTGGTTGTAAACATAAATATATATATATAGGCAGACAGTGAAATCTCTTACTCCTCCCTCTCTCCCAGTTGCCCAGTTATTGACTCTCCATATCCACTGTTGTTAGAGTCTTTCGTTTTCCCCACTTTTTCTATAGCTGTGCACCTTGCTTTTCTTCACTTAATTTATCTTGAAGATAATTCTTTATCACTGCAGAACTTCATATTTTATAGTGTTCCACAATTTTTAACCAGTCTTATTAGTGGGCACTTCACCTTTTTTTTAGTTCTTTTCTTTGACAAATAATACTTCACTGAATACCTTTTTGCACGCAACATCCACACAGCCTGTCTGTAGGACAAAATCCCAGAATTGAAATAGTGGTATCGGGTGTATGTTCTGTAAATGTGATGGGTGCCCTCTGGAGAGTTTGCATCAGCTGCGAATGAGGGCGTTTCCTACAACCTGACCAACAGAGGACATGCTTTTTAGATTGTCACCTTCAAACTGCTTCCAACCACCTCCAAACTGTGGTCTTCCATAGTTGCTTACTCATTTCTAGTATGTTTTTAATTTTGCAAAATATGAGTTAAAATTTTATTTACCTTTAAAAGACTAGTTCTCCTCTTACCTCTCCACTATTCTTGCAACTCAGAAACTTTCTACGTCCCCCAAAGGTTAGTTATAGCAGCTGAAAGCACGTCGACCTGGGGAGCCTCACTGAGAGTCACAGGTGCGGGAGCAGCAGGATGGATGTGAGCTTTGATCAAACTGTGGGACAGTGAGGAATACACAGGTTCACCGCCTCACTTCCCACAGCCAGTGTGGAGACCAAAGTGAGGAACTCTCTCATCTCCTGTGTTCCCTCGGTAGGGATTAGCGGCGGTCTCATGCCTGCCTGCGGGAAGGGAGGATTCGGAAGTGACCTTTCTATAAAGTTCCCCAGGGTGGGCTCTGGCTTGTTCCGAGGAAAGCCAGGCTTCTCTGGACCTGAACAGGCAAATCTCCCTGAACCAGACTTGGGGACTTGAAAATATATAACAGTCCCCTGCAAATATGGTCTCCAACTGTCCTTGTCTCAAAAAAATACATATATAAGTAGCACACGTACATACGGGTGTGTATAGTTTGGCTTTCAGACTTTTGACTTGACTTGGTTTCTCTCTACTGTTAGGCTCTTGGAGTGCTCAGTCAAGATGGTATTATGAGATTCATCAATATACAGACTTGTAAACTTCTCTTTGAAATCGGGAGCCTTGACGAAGGAATCAGCTCATCGGTAATTAGCCCACATGGACGGTACATTGCATGTGTTATGGAAAATGGAAGCCTGAACATATATTCAGTTCAAGCTTTAACACAAGAAATAAATAAGGTATGTTATCAAGTAAATAATATCAATATTTTTAATAGGATTTTTTTCTTGATTTTTAGAGCGAGAGGAAGGGAGAGGGATAGAGAGAGAAACAGCAATGAGAGAAAAACTTCATCAGTTGGCTGCCTCCTACTAGGGATTGAGCTTGCAACTCAGGCATGTGCCCTGACCGTGAATGAAACCAGTTACCTCTTGGCTCCTGGGTTGATGCTCAACCACTGAGCTACACTGGCCGAGCAATAACATCAATTTTTTAAAAAAACTTACATGTACCATCAAAAATAAAATCTTCATGCTACAAACTTCTAATGTCCTTGGACTGTATCCATTTTTCAGGATATATTTTCTTTTATTCCCAAAACTGTATCTCCAGACTTGATCTCTCGCTTATCCTCCATTCTTAAATGTCTGCCTTTCTCAAGGGCATCAGTCTGATGTCCCTGCCCCATTCAAGGTGCCCCACATAACCTGCTCCCCAAAGGAGGCCTTTGGTTCCAGTCTCTTTGTTTCTGTCTCACTCTTCCTTCTAGAAACCTTGGAGCACTGTGACTCTTCCTATTTCTTTATTTCCTAAATCTAGTCAATACTAAGTCATTAATTTCTTAAGTTTGAAATATGTATATATGTGTTGCCTGTCCTCCACCCATATTAGCCACCCTTGTATTGGTCTTCATTAACTGCTCTTGAATAACAGTTATTTAAGCAGACATTCCAAAACTCAGAGCCCTCACTGCCTGCCACTGCCCCTCAGTTTCCCTCAGAGAAAATTCACTCGCGCCCAAAGAACATTGGGGGGCTTTTCTCAGCATTGTAGAGGCCAAAGTCTAACTGCCTTCCTGCTGCAAATGATCACCATGCTACTAACCTTATCACGGAATGCAAAACATGGATTGTAGTCTGTGATTACAGCCTGCTTTCATGGAATTATTAAATTCTACGTGTTGTTGTTAATCGTGTGTCTTCATGTGTATTCTTCAAAGGAATTTGGCAGAAATTTGCTTTGATTTGTTAGTCAACAAGGAAACATTCTTAGATATCTTATTTACACTTTTTGTCTGAAAAATAATTACATATATTAAGGCTCATTATTAAATTGATCAAAACAAATTTTATAAATCATATATTAACAGGTGTATTTTCTAAGGAGAGCTACTAGATTTTTTTTTTCTCCCTTTAGCCACCTCCTCCTTTAGTGAAAGTGATCGAAGATTTGCCTAAACGTAAACTGACTTCTGGTGATTTTAAGATGAAAGTAACATCAGGAAGAGTACAGCGGCCAGCAAAATCAAAGGAAAACAAAATACAGACCAGAATATTAAAGCAAGACCTGACTGGCCATCTTGAAAATAAAGAGGTAAGAACACATCATGATTTAACTCCCGTTTATCATGACTGCCGTAGACAAGGCTCATGCTTTCTAGGCCATCATCATTCTTCCCTCTTTTAGGAAGTAAAAAAAAAAATAATATGAAGAGAAGAAAGTAGTATAACTAAAATTATAATGTGCTTAAAATTTTTTTAATTTTAATATAAAATTAACACATGCTTCTGCTTTTGTAAAAGTCAAACCGTATAGAACTGCACCATCAAATATCCCAGCCCCTTGTGGCTGATGAGTACTTGAGACGTGGCTAGTCTGAGCTGAGATGTACTGTACATGTGAAACACACATCAGGTATTGAAGTCTTAGTGTAGACAA